CGCCCGACCTCCGAAAATTCAGGCAATTGGGAAAACAGCCAGTTTTCCCTATTTTACCACGCGGGTAAGGTACTAGTGGTACTTCTCACACATTCTCCTGCTGCTTCTCCGAGGACAGGGAGAAGCAGCAGGAGAATGTGTCAGAAGTAGGGGTTAAGGGTTAAAGTAGCCTTCCAGCAAATACGGAAGGAAGGAAAGTGAATGCTGCCGGTGAGCGTCACTGCATCATCAGTCACCGCACCGGCCGGCAGAGACCGAGCACGGAACACATTCACAATCGATGGCACACCCCGGTCATTAGCAAAGAAGGACAAAAGTAGAGGCCTTCACTCAAGAAAAAGTGGGGAAAACAAAGAGGATTCCACGGCAGGAGAGCACACATTCATCATACTTTCCCACACGGTAAATTTGGCATGCGATGGACCTCGCTCCAGTACACAACACTCTACAGGCATTTGGACGTTTTCTGGACCAGATGCATTCGGACGAGTGCAACACTTTGAATGTATCGGGTCCAGAAAGCGTCGAGATGCATGGAGAGTGTTATGTAGTGGAGCGAGGCCCTATGTCTAGATCGCCAGCTCCGCCTATGATGAGCAGACCGGCTGAGAGAGAATGTACCCACGTGCTGTCTGAGATATGGCAAAATACACGGATCGCGCTCGCGGCGAGACTTTAGGGATGCTGTCTACCTTCTTCACCCAGATAGATCGCTGCATCTGGACTGAACATTGCCTCAAGTACAGCTATAATGACCGGGCTTCTATTCGGGTGAAGGCGCCAGTCCCTCACTACAAATGGAGACCGGACGATTTCACCCAGGCAATCAACCAATGGTCTCACCCTGCCCTGCATCGGCCACACTAGTTATGGACCAAAGACTCAACCCTTTAGCCCTTTAAGCAGATTCCATCCCAGATTTAGACCTAGACTAACCCCCTTAGACCCTAGATTTAGACCTACACTGGCCAGTAATTTTAGTTAGACCTGGACTAACCCCTGGTCTTAGACCTAGAGTCACCCCTAGTTTTAGACCTAGATTGCTACTCTTAGACCCTAGATTTAGACCTAGACTGAACCCTAGGCATTTTTTTTTTTTTAATTTTATTTTTTTTTTACAAAAAGAGAAATCCTTTATTATAGTCCAAATTGAGGAACCCTAGTTTTAGATCTGGACTAAACCTTAGTCTTAGACCTAGAGTGACCGGTAATTTTAGACCTAGACTAACCAACTTAGACCCTAGATTTAGACCTAGACTGACCCCTAGTTTTGGACCTAGATTGACCCCTAGATTGAGACCTAGACAACCTCGTACTCTGAGACTCAGCGCGACGCCTAGTTTTAGACCTAGACTAACACCCCCTTAGACCCTAGATTTTAAGACCTACGGCGGCTCTGTCGACCTTCTCATTATCATTATCGAGGGAGGCCGATCCCGTGATTGCATAGACTGACCACTAGTTTTGGACCTAGACTAACCCCTAGTTTTAGACCTAGACTAACCCCCTTCGACCCCCGATTTGAACCTAGATTGACCTCTAGTTTTCGACCTAGACTAACCCCTAGTTTTAGACCTAGACTAACCCCTATTCTTAGACCTATCCAGGCTTTTTCTCACCGGCTACTTGATGAAGACGCACCACATTCCATCCCTTGCTTGTTATGTGAGAAAGCCAACGCAGAATTCTCATGGGGATGGGGCGAGAGGCTGAGCCCTCGTAGAAAACAACCTGAGCTATCCTCCTGAGTATTGACATTTCATCCACCATAAATCAAGCACGACCATTCACGATGAATCTTGCTCGCAGGCGTCAGTTTAACCTTAGTCATAACTGGGCCAGCGTTCGACGGACCTTTGGCATAGCTCCGGCACGGGTTTTGCAACTTCATGCCCAGGTCACGCGCAGCTCATGCAGCTTCCGCGCAGGCTCGGCGCAGCCGATCAAGCTTCCGCACAGGTGCGGCGCACCTGATCGATCTTCCGCACAGGTCCGGCGCACCTGATCGATTTTCCGCACAGGTCCGGCGCACCTGATCGATCTTCCGCACAGGTCCGGTGCACCTGATCGATCTTCCGCACAGGTTCGGCATTGCTCATCTAGCTTTGGCACAGGTTCGGCGCCGCAGCTGATCAAGCTCCCGCACGGGTTCGGCTGAGCTGATCTAGCTTCAGCACAGAGGTTCGACGGTCCTTGTGCAATTCAGGTGGACGTTCGTTCTAGACTTGACGCAGGCCTAGCATAGCTTTCGATCGACGATAGATTCGGAACGGAATAAGTAACGAACCGCTTGAGGACAGCTTGTTGATCGTTTCCAAAAGTGAATACAGCACAGACCGCATTGCATTTCAGCTACCGTGTGTGAAGATGAGGTACCCTTGGTGGCAACAGGACCGCGAGGCACGTTACCATCAAACTCACGCACCGATCCAACTGGTAATAGGAGACAAGCACGAGGATTTCCTGTGCTCCCCCACAAGAACTCTCTCTCTCTCTCTCTCTCTCTCTCTCTCTCTCTCTCTCTCTCTCTCTCACACACACACACACACACACACACACACACACAAATCATAATAATAATAATAATAATAATAATAGTAAAATTTAAAAAAAATACATATCGATATCAAACGCGCTCGCCCCGGCGCCGATCGACCCAGTAAGTGACACAAGGTGACGATAAGGGTGACTCTCTCTCTCTCTCTCTCTCACTCACTCACACACACACACACACACACACACACACACACACACACACACACACAAATATATATAATATTTGTAAAAATTTAAAAACATAAATATCGACATCAAACGCGCTCGGCCCGGCGCCGATCAACCCAATAAGTGACACAAGGTGACGATAAGGGTGACTCTCTCTCTCTCTCTCTCTCTCTCTCTCTCTCTCTCTCTCTCTCTCTCTCTCTCTCTCTCTCTCTGTGTATGTGTGTGTATGGGGTGGGGGCCGAGGGGAGAGGTTATGTGCGTGTGAATCTCTGTGGGTACTCTAGCGCGTCGGCGTTAGCGTTGCATTGGTGGATTGTTGCACTAGCATCGGTAGGGAGGGGGCAACAAGTTACATCGAGCGGCTGTGATTGGCGGTACGGCGATCTGAGGGTGTGAAATCCTTGCCATGGTCCATGGACACGAGAGCCAACAAGGTGGATGATTCCTTCTCTTAGTTACTACCGATATGATCAGTGGCATCCAAGGCATCAATAAAAACAAAGAACCTACAGACACGCTCTGAAAACGAAGAGCGATGTCCCATGAGTGGCTACTAGGTTTGGCATGGCTGCGAGTACATTTTCTTCTCTTTTCCCTTTTCCTTTACATTCCTTCACAAGCAAATACATAGATGCGCCATATCGCATCCCTACAGGACCGCAATTGCCGAGAGTCCATCGAGAGACAGAATACGCCAACAACAAAAAGAAAGGCGGACTGTAACAGGCTGTTTCGTGGAAATCTCACCGACTTCAAAACGTATAATACCCTCAACGATCATTGGGTTCCGTCCAAAATCACGCTCGTGGAAAAAGAAGGGGGGGTGGGCGGGAGGAAGCGAATGAGGGGGAAGGGGAGAAAGGGGGGGGGGGGGGGGGGGAGGGAGAGGCCGGGGGGCAGGGCAGGGCGGTGAATAAACGGATCAGAAACACGAGAACTACTTCATTATCATCGAATCCGCTGACATAAGGAGGCAAGCTTGGTATATGGCCCTCGGCCCACCACTCACCAAACGTGGAAAATGAGGATGAATCTTCGTCAAGAAACATGGACAGATACAGATACGGCGCCGTAATTTTTGCCTTTTTTTGTGCATGTGGTGAGTGGCGGAGCGAGGCCCTAACTGATCGGCTGGGAATCGCATCTGAATCGAAAGATCCAGTACATACATAGAGACAAGATTTCGCCCGAATGCCACCCACGCTTATGGTCCGCGAAAGGTCTGTATCGACGGTCAACCAGCCTAAATTGCACACACATTGTGAATATGGAAATCTGCGATGTTCTATTCCTCACAGTATATTTTACTTCAATCGTGGCCGTCACTACCTTCTTCCCCCGAATACAACGTACGGTCGTTATTGCTGTATTTGGGGTTATCTTTCAGTCTAAATACAGCTATAATGACCGTACATTGTATTCCAGGGAAGGTAGACTACTATAGGTATATATCACGAGTAAATTGTCGCCGGTCAGAATGCCATGGCCGTCGAAGTAGTAATTCACCCTTCAGTTCAACCTCCCCCCCCCCCCCCGACAAGACCGGGGGGATGAGTTTCATTGACATTCGAAAAAAAACATATAAAATCTTCTTTGAGTCACCATAGAAACTACCAAAGATTGCAATAGGCTGAATGAAAGCTGTGGAAAAATATTTTTGGCTATAAAAAAATAAACATAACCCACAGAACTACCACTGAGAACGCCCATCCGTCCCGCCTATACACGGACGTAGTGCAGGAAGAAATCGTCCTGACCCTCGCCCCAAGCGCGCATGACCAGCCACCAACCAAATGCGAATGCGGTTTTGCATTCTACAAACTGCTCAGGCGGGGGGGGAATCCCTCTATACCCGCGTGATATGCCCTCGCTCCCCTTCTCACCAAGTGTGGAAACGATTTCAAAATGGCGCCTGTATCTTTCCAGCTTCTAGATGAACATACATGCACCATTTTACACATCTGATGAGCAGTGCAGGCCCTGCAGGGAGATACCCATACGCTGCTCGCATTGCAACTGGTCAGCTGTCCGCCGTCAAGATGACAGATCAGTGAGGTGGAAAAACACTTGCCTCAAATATGAGATGCTGCTGCTGCTACCATCTTCCCCCAAATCGAGCGTACATTCATTACCTCTGCATCTGGCCCAAATACAGCTATCATGACAGTGCGTTCTATGCAGGACGGGTAGCGCATCACGCCGACCGATCCTTGCTAGGTCCCAGGACAAGACTCTGTATTGGACAGCAATGTTCACGTCCATTCCACACGTACCTGCGCTCGTCGAGACCCCTCCTCCTCCATTGCTTGAACTCCCCGCGGTCGGAGGGAACGGCAGGCGATTGTTCCCCACCGGTGATGCAATCATCTTGAATTTTGCACGACGAGGGGCATCAATCGTCTCTCTCTCTCTCTCTCTCTCTCTCTCTCTCTCTCTCTCTCTCTCTCTCTCTCTCTCTCTCTCTCTCTCTCTCTCTCTACCTTGAGTTTTGCGCGACGAGGAGCATCAATCGTCTCTCTCTCTCTCTCTCTCTCTCTCTCTCTCTGTGTGTGTCGCCTGTTCACCTGTTCGCCTGTCCGACGAGCTCAGACTGTCCGAGAACGGAGCCACGCAAACATACTGCCAACTTGATGGGATTGTGGGGATGGGCCCAAACCGATCAACCACTGGCCGGATTGCTGTGCAAAAGGGGAGAGATGGACATGATGTCGTCCGGGCCGGGACAAAGATAACCTTCTTCGTTCTCAAATGAAATAAAACCTGTCAACCCGTAAACCCGTGAGCCCGTAAGCCCAAGTCGCCAGAGTCGGCACTTCCCTGTGCTCGATGCTCCCAAAAGCTCGATTCCCTCTTCTCCCGCCCAATTGCCGATCAGTTTTCGCGCGTCACATGTCACAATTTCGCCCTATGTCACCGTTCTCAATTTTGCCCCTCGTCGCATGTCTCAATTTTGCCCTACGCTCGACGCGACTTCGATTTCGCGCCAAAACTCTACTCCATCACCCGACCGCCTCCGTCCACCCTCCGGCCTACACGTGCAGCACAATGCTACAGCATCTTTGCCCCTCCTCTCAGTGCATGTGGGGATGTCAGGGAAAACCGGAAAAGCAAAATGGCGCGAGATCCCCGCGCGAGGACCTTCGCATCTCCGCTTCTCCGGTTTCTGTCCGACGTGGTTACACCTCGACAATCAGTTGTTTTGAACCTAACCTATGCGCAATTACCGGCGGCATCCTGGCCCTCTACATTCACATGAAGTCCCCGGCTACGTAAGCCTCGCCGCACTTTTCCGCCTTGTTCGTTCGCGCGCGGTGGTGAAAAGAATTTGACGGTCATCAAAGCTGATACACACTTCTGATCTGACGTTTCGATTTCGACGGCATTCACCAACCAGCTTCCGTCGGTGTAACAGAGGCGGGGCCCGAGAGACGCTGACCTGGCATGATATTCGCCAGACGTGCCAAGACGGACCTGACCTGGCTGCAGAGATCCCATTGCTTTCCTGCTTCGTTGACAGGCTGGCAGGCATAATGGAAGTAGAGTATGGGCCTGGTTAGACCCTCCTTGGAAAATCCTCAGGAATTAGGATAAAAGTCCTTGGAATTTGTTTTGGCTTTTGGCATAGTCATTACACCAGGTCCAAGGAAAACCCTTAGAGGTCTCCGGCGGCCAATTTCATACGCATACACGAGGACGAGGGGGTGGAATGTCTGCGTGACCTCGGGTGTGGTCCAGTGGCGGCGCCGGGGAGGCCTGCCGGGCTGAAGGGAAAAAAAGGGCACCAACATCCCGGTTCGAATTTCGAATTTTGAACCCTCCGTTGTGACGCATCCGCGTCCTGGCAGCTGGACTGGAGACTTCATCCAAACGTTTGTGCAGAGGAGTGATTGTGGCCATGCTTGGAACATTAGGCGACGTAGCATGTATGCGTAGCGGTTCTCTACTGCGTCTTCGCCTCCGTGTTCCGCATCCTCTTCAGGCTGTCACAGTTGAGCGCGAACGTAATGCTTTCATGAAACGTGGAGAGTGCGAGCGTGGTCCCCATCGACGTGCAGAAGGTGCATCGAGGGTACCGGCAGGCGAACAAGTGGTGGGCGCTTGCGCAGTGCAAGTCCTGACGATGCTCGCATTTGTGTCAGCCATCACCATGCGTTATCGCATTGAGAGAACAGCTGCTCGCCTGAGGATGAGATTGTCCATTCGCAGGCAGAGGCAGCTGATGCAACGAGTGGTAGATGCACCCAATTGTGTGTCGTTATCGGAATCCATTGTGCAATTTTGTTGAGCCATGGCATCGGGTGTGATCATGCGGGGGACGCCAAGATGGTGGATGAGGAGAAGGACGGGAGGGACACGTGAGGAACTCCGGCAGGTTGACGACGTGGCTGAGGGCTACTACAAGGAGAAGTTGCGGAGTGGAGTAGTGAATGGCACAAGCCGGGTGTCTGCTGGAGATTTTTCACCTGTCCATCGTCGTCGTCGTTTTTGTGTGCTACTAGGACCGTGCACAACGACGCACACGTGGAACAACGCGACAAGGAGCACGAGAAGAGTGGCCAGCAGCAGGAGCTGGAACCGTCGGAGGACGTCTGCCATGAATCGCAACGTGCAAGGCGTGTAGCAAACAAAGCTTGCATCAATGTGCCCGACAATAGTCGGCAATGCTTCAACATCGCTTGTAGAAAAATAAAAAATTCGACCGTGGGACACCATGGCCGGCGACGAGCGCACGGAAAACCCCGCTTCGTGAAGCGCCTTGCAGTTGAAGAACCACCCTCACGCATTTCCACGCTAACGGTAACAGTGGAAGGTCGTTGGGGGGCCGTCAGGTACTCCAGGCTGGCGATGTTCGTCCACTAGACCACGAACAACCTGTGCACCAACATCGACTCCAAATTCTCATGTCGGCGCTCGCTCCAGAACACTCCGTCAATCGTGGCTCTTTTAACCCAAGGGACCTCGCGAGGACCCGTGTATCCAAGGATGTTTTGGCTAGGGATTCCGAGGAACCCAAGGAAATGTCTCGGGAGGGTTTTCACATTCATTAAAGGAATTTGGTGAATTAGGACGCGGTGTAACGACACCGATTTTCAAAAAACGGATTTTCAAGGAGGGTCTAACGAGGCCCTATATATAAGTAATAAAGTAAGGCCAATCATAAAAAGGGGCTGATAACGAGACCCTATATATAAGTAATAAAGTAAGGCCAATCATAAAAAGGGGCTGATAAGAAATTGCCATGGCCTTAGCCACGCACATAGGGTGGGGGGATGACTTTCTCTATCTAGAAAGTCAGCCTACTCTGCGACCAAAACCATCCAGTAGTCTTGGTCCAGGAAAAACAGTCCTTAGCAAACTTGGAGCCCAGACAGCATTAAGACTGCTCGCATAGATTTTATAAGAAGAGGCTCAGTATTGAAGGAAGGAGCAATGAGCTCAATCTCCTTCCTTGAATATTGGGCCCCTTCTTAGAATAGAGTACCATGTCAACGATAAGCTTTCAATCAATTCCCCCAAAGCCTCCTCTGTACGATGGCAATACCATAGCCATTGCCTCATCCTATCTGCGCTTTTCAACTCCCCAACATTTTTGTCTCATATAGGTCTCCCATCCGTAGTGTCCCCATGGTTGACCCACCCTCTCCATGGGGAGTCAGAACTGCATCTAACCTGGCTGTTCGCGATCCATTCGTTCCTGAACAGTGGTTGTCTGAAGACCTCCTCCCACCGGTCGGGAGTTGGTATGTTCGGGATTGGGAGTTTCCTCCATGTATTAAGTAAGCGCACCCAAAATTCCTTTGCTGCCCCGACATCCCTGCATATCCTCGGAATTTTCCAATACCTGTCCTCGATCCAAGTTATTGCCTTATAGGCTTCAGTTGGGATGGTGTACATGGTGGGTGGCGATGAGGCGCTGGTCGAAGGATACGCTTTGGGAAGGGAGGACGCCCTGATAGGAAGTGGGAAACCTTTCTTCTGGTTCCACGGAGATGAGGTTTTCCACATTAGAGTCATGCACATCGAGGGGAGCAGAGGGTCTTCCGACCGATGGTGCCGGTAGCATACCTGCCCATCGATCCCAAGGAACGGCAGCGGGACCCTAGAGCGGGGGGGGAAGGAGGCAAGGACTGCAGACATGCAGGTGAAAACGGCTTACCACATGCTGAGACCCAAAAGGGAATTGCGGGACACGATCCGGGACAGGTGGCAGCGCCACCTCAACATAGACATGGGTCTCCTACATCCTATCAAATGGTTTCACGAAACCAAACTGCGGCCGGCCAAAATCTCGTCATTGTACTGGCAGGTGGCCCACCGATGCCTTCTGACCAACGACTACCTGATCGACCACACCAGGCCGGAGCAGCAGGGGCGGGCACTGCCTTGGTGCACGAGATGCTTGTAGAGCTACCCGTCGCGAAAAAAGATTGAGATAATTGAGCATTTTTTTTGTCGTGCCCCTTGTCAGTGCTTTTTGTGGCAGTGGTGGGATAGGATATGGCGGCGGACGATTCCTGGTGCGGGCTGGCCATGGGACGGGAGGGCATTCTGTGGGTGATACGATGGAGACAATGCATCTTGGAAATAGAGGGGGCACAAGTGAAGGAGGAGAAAGTAACAGAGGTGGTCAGACAATTGGTACAAGCAGAAATCACCAACGAGTGCCAGACAGTCAGACAGCAAATGAGCTTCGTGCATACGAGGCGAGATATTGCCAAAGTCATTAGACGTTTCTGTGAAGAATGGTTGAGGAGAAGAAGGGGGGCCTGGATGACAGAGGTATCTTGGTGAAAGGATGACCTCCAAGGAGAGGGGGAGGGGGCGGGGGGAAAGATACCCAAAGATTATAAGTTTTCCTTTCAGAATTGGGTTGTGATAGACCCTGGCATCCCCCTGAGGCCGGCGCCGGACTTCTCGGACACTTCCCCCCCCCACCCGTTATCGCTTGTGGATGTGCCCTCCTGCGGTTGAAAATCCTTGGACGGAGAGGCATGTAATGCGTTCAGTGGAAGCAATTGTGGTTGTCGGGGTGAGACCCTTTTTTTAAAGAAAGTTTTCGGTTTTAACTATGGATAAGAATTTTAGTTTCGACATCTTCGGCGGAGAAAAAGAGAGAAAGGAAAGACATATGGGTTTTGGCCTCCGATAGCTACGCTGGAAGAGGGGGACAGGTAGGGGTGGCCCTAGCGGGCCCTTTGGACTCGGTTTCCAGCATCTGTTTTTTCTCTTTCCCCTCATTTTATCTCATTAAAAAAATGCTACTATGGTTGCATTGAAAAAAAATGTAATGGGACGCTCGACCCGGTTTCCAGCACGTGATACTCCCCACCAATAGATGGAGTCTCCCTCAGGGTGCTAGCAATGTGTGCTCGTATCAGCAGTGCTAGCACCTAAAAGGGATGTGAATGGTTTGGTGCCCATTTGAACGTGGGACCACAGTTAAGGCACATATAAAAACTTGAAGCACAATTGCTGCCTCTGTTGCGGGGGGGGGGCTACAGGGCAAGAGTTCACCATCCGGATTGATGAGTTTGCCCAACAAAAACGTTTTGTCAGAGCCCCTGCCTACTGGTATGAGCAGCTGGATGTTTCTTTATGACTGTCATCAAGAAGAATTGCACATTATCTGGAACAACACACCTACATATTGTGAGCCCTAAACAACGATTACCAAAACATCCCATTACTCCTTTCAAATTCTTGCACGTTGTCGGGGTAAATACCCTGACAAGGGTATTTGCCGGGGTTTTAAAACGTTGGACGTTGTCCG